ATAATAACAAATAAAAATATTTTAAAAAATACACTTATTTATTTTTAAACATGTCATTATTAGTCATTTAATATTAAACAACAATTGCTAACTATTGTATAGCCAAACAGTTATATTTATCGAATCTGCTATTTACCATTTGCTATCCACTTTCCGCTATCCGCCATCCACTTGCCGTTATCCGCCATCCCAGTGGCAAAGGTGATTGAAAATGTTCTATGAGTCTTGTGTTCGAAGCTTGCAGTGACAATTTTATGGGAAATTTTTCAAAAGATTTAAACCGTTCGGTTGAATGGTTTAACGGTTTGTATAGAAAGGACTAATATAGAGTTAAGCACCTCCGTTGAAAAGGAGTTCCATTGACTCTTCATTCTTGAACAAAATATGGAGCACAACCAACTAAATATATGAAGTTAGAAGTTAGAACAGGTCCATACCTTTTAATACAAGCACAAGTGAAGTGCATGATTAATTCTAAGAAAAGGAGGAGCAAAGTGAAGGGAGGTGGCCAAGCAAATAGGCTGGTGGGAAGGAGGTGCATTGACAATGTGAGTGCATAACCATTCTTTTGCTTGACCCTTCATACCCATATAAGAAGAAGAGATAGGTGATAATTCAAACTTGATTGGCAAACTCATGGGTGTGCTCGCCATGATATATATTTGAAATTTACATCCAATAATTACATCTACCATGAAATTAAAAGAAGGAGAAGATCTATGCCAAAGAAGGAGAAAAGGGCCTTGATCAAAAATTACCAATGGCTAATGGTGAAGTTGAATAGAGATTTCATCAAGGATATTACTTAATTTGACAAAATACCAAAATTGAAAATTGAAATTCATGAGGTAAGCAGGGTATTTGAAATAATGCAATTTTTATTTTCAAATAAGTAGTTCCAAATACATGTATTTGAAGTAGATTCAAATACATTCTTATTTAGTATAAACAAATAGTATATTTAAATTTGAAGTCCCAAATTCAAATACACTTCAATTAAACTCACATTCCCAAACATAGCATTAGTGAATATTAGGTGTTACTTAAAAAACTCCATGACCCAGGAGTTAAATACAAAACATTTATATTTGATGCTACTGAAGCCAGCTCTAGTTGCCAACTTGATGAATTCTTGTTGAGTCCTTTCCTTCCCTCCAGGGTTTTGAGTCATCATTACCACGTCCATCTCAGCAATGGCCCTTGAAGCAACATTTTTGTCGGGCAAAACTGGAGCAATTGCGTCCACGACGATTACTTTTCCATTGTCAGGTATAGCATCATAACAATTCTTCAACAGTTTAACACAGTGATCATCACTCCAGTCATGTAGTATCCACTGCAAATTCATTTCCAAATCACATCTTTGAAAATGATAGGTTTCCATTAAAGTAATGCATTGATATGTAGTTTTCCAAGCAAAATCATAAAACCCACCTTCATAAAAATGGCATCTCCCTTAGGAACACTATGGAACATATCTCCTCCCACATGTTCTACCCCTGAAATTTATGATTAAACTAAGTGCAGTAGGCTTGAAAATTGAGAAGCTTGACATGTTAAGCTTGTAATGTTGCATACCTGCGTAAGGGGGAGCGTGTTGAACAACATGAGGCAAGTCGAAATTAATTCCCTTTATGGAAGGGTATTTGGAAGTGATGAAGCTGAGGGTGACTCCTAAACCACC